CAGCAGACTTGGCCGGAGCATGCGGTGCTTGCGGATGTCATACAATGCTGCCAGGAAATTCTCCAATTCAAGCACGCTGAGCCGATCGCGAAGTTCCTCACCAAGGTCGAAAAGCTCCATTCTCTTGTCCACGAATGGCAGCTTGTTGCAAGCAGAGAGTTTTCGGCTATAACCCAATACGATGAAATCACGGCTCTGATCATTAGCTGGCGAAGAGTCGAGCTGTCAACATGGGCGAGACTCCTGGATTTGGAGAAAGAAAAGTGCGACCAAGATGTCAGCTCGTGGTGGTTCATTGCGTACGAAGCAATCATCGCAGCTCCCATCCAGATTGCAGAATCTGGCGAAGAACTGGGTGACCACATTCGAGAGGTCGTCTCTACCTTGGAGCAGTTCTTCAAGTCGACAAGCTTGGGTCAGTACAGCTCGCGTTTGCAGCTGGTCAAGAACTTCCGGGCCCTGCTTCATCTGTATGTGCAAGACTTCCCGTCGCTGGGACAGGTTTGCTCTGCATTGGACAACTTCATCGAGCATTACCGACAATTCGAGCCTCCGATCCACAAGATCTTGAGCGAAAGGAGAACAGCCCTGGAGAAGGATATCAAGGAGCAAATCCAGCTGGCTAGTTGGAAGGATACGAACATTGTTATCCTCCGGGAGAGTGCTCGTCGATCCCATCACAAACTGTTCAAGTTGGTCCGGAAGTATCGAGAGATCCTGGCGCAGCCAGCTCAGCAGACCCTGGAGCAGGATATGCCCGAGGGCAACGAAGAGCCAACTCTCGCTGCTACCGGCCTCGCCCTGCCATCCACGAGTTTCCCAGAAGCACTTGCGATGTGCCAAAGACAAGACGGGATTTGGGCAAACCGAGCACCTCGATTCAGAGATCCCGATGGAACCGCCAGCAACATGAAGCAGATGTACGTATCGATTCCGACCGAGTTCGATATGTCGGAAGATATGGATGGCTTCGCCAAATATTTCATCGAATCGATCCAGGAGTTCAAGACGCAGACCCCGAAGACCCTAACCGAAGACAACAAGGACGATGTCCAGCACATGAAGGTCCAGAAGCGACGTTTCTACGCGGACATTCTGCGGCAGTTGGCTGAGATGGGTATCAAGCGGAATGCCAGCACCTCCCTGATGGAAACACAAGCAACTGTGGCCCAAGTGCTTGCCTCAAGCGCAACCTTTGGCACTGAAAGCGCAGGCTTCCCTCTGGCGAAGAACTCCGACCTCTACTTCCACAGGATTCTGGACATTCTGCCTCGTGTCCGTCAGGCGGCGCATGATTACTGCGAGGAACTCAGCAATGTGGAAATCTCGAGAAGTGCCGGGTCCTTTGAGCAGCTTTTGTTCCTACTTAGGAAGCAGAGGGCTACCATTTCCCCGGCATTCGCCAACTTAGGGTCTCTCCGCGCGCTTCTGTCCAAAATCACCAATCTGTGGTCCGCTGGACCGGCTTCAGTCTCCAGGACAAGCGAGGGCTTTTCTGAGAACAAAGAAGATGTGAGGGCAGCAGTTCTGTGGCTGACGCCTATACTTGGCTTGGCGGCTACTACTGTGCAACTGCATAGCAATTTCTCCGGAATCGATTCGTCTGATGTCTCAAGAGGCCTGCAGGAATGGAAATCGAAGTTCAACGGTCTCAGATCATCCCTTGAAGGTCTCCCAGAACTTCCCCACGGAATTGCATCGCGTCTGCACAAGGAGGTTTTGGAAACTTCTCTGTCCTCCTTTACTGAACTCAAGACATATGTCACGCAAACGGCCGAGTCGCGCCCCGATCTGTCTTTCGTCCTCGACCAGATCGTTCCCTGGACGAATGCCCAAGTTTCAGCAGCGGAGGGCGCAAAGGACCATAGTCCTTTGGCAATTGAAGAATTCGAGTCCACTCTGCTCACGACAGTCGACAAGATTCTCATCAGCCTTCAAAAGCTAAAGGAAGTGCCAAATTCTCTGGCATCCACTGGCTCCCTGGCTCGCAGCGACGAGTTCTTCACCAGGGCTATCAAGGCTGCGCATCTGTCTGAGATTATTACCTCGCTCGAAGCCGTTCTGGATAAGCTGCAACTTACTTCGGACTCCGAGGCTGGCATCCCCTTGGCTATTACACTTGTTGCCAGTCTGCTACCCATCATGAGCAAGTACCACAGCATCTGCAAGGATATCGTGGATCGTTTCCTGACGGTCCACCGCGAGACCTGCAAGATGTCGTACATCCTTTCCAAGTCGTTCATCCAAGTAGCGTCCGAGGGCTTCTGTACCCCTCAGGAGGAGTCCACGGAAGAGGGCAACGCAGGGAAGCTCGAAGGTGGCACTGGTCTGGGGGCTGGAGAGGGAGCAGAAGATATCAGCAAGGACGTTGGCGAAGACGAAGACTTGACGGAACTTGCCCAGGAGGAGAATACCGAGCAGGATGGTGAAATGGACGACTCGAAGGACGCCGTCAACATGGATCAGGAAGATCTGCGCGGGGAGGATGGCGAACGCAAAGAAGAAGAAGAAGGGGATGACAAGGATGAAGACGGCGAAGAGGAGGACAACGATATTGACGAGGAGACTGGTAGTGTTGGTGAGCTTGATGCTTCCGCCGTGGACGAAAAGATGTGGGACGGTGGTCACGACGAAGAGCAGAAGGAGACGGAGAACGAACAAGGCAAGGGCGCGTCGGAGACCGATGAGCAAACGGCCGCGCAAAACGAGAAAGAAGCCAAGAAGGACGAGAACGGCGAGGAAGACGAGAACGAGGAGCAGGAAAGCGAAGTCGAGGAGGACGAAGAAGCTCCAGAGGAAGAGGGCGAGGCTGTTGGCCGCGAAGACATGGATGTCACTGATCCCCACGCGAAGGAGGAGGAAGCACTGGATCTCCCAGAGGAGATGCAGCTCGACGGAGACGAAAAAGGGGATGACGGAGCCGGCGACAGTGACGATGACTTCGACGATGGCCTCGACGACGATCTCCCCGATACTGGCGCTCCTGAGAACGAGCAGGAAGTTGACAATCTCGAAGACCCGGAAGGAGAAGTCGCGGAAGCGCCCGGCGAGGACCAGGAAATGGACGAGAACGAGAATGGGGAGGACCTCCCCGACGAGGGTGAGGCGGAAGGAGGCGAAGAAGACACGAAGGAGCAGGGCGAAGAGGAGCCCGAAGAGGCCCAGCAAGACGACTTCCTCACACAGCAAGACGAAAACGAAATGGCTGGAGAAGAAGTGGCGCCAAGCGAAGCCGTGAACGCCGGCCTGGGCGCGGACCAAGACCAGAACCAAGAAAAGGGCTCCTCGGGCAACGCGCAGCAGGAGCAGGGATCAACCGATCAGACCGCCGAGAAGGAAGAACAGACCGGTGCCTCGAAAGACGGAGAAGAAAACGAACGGCACCGAGACGCCGGTGGCGGCGAGGACTCCAAACCAGAGGATCCCCAGCTGCAGGCGTTCAAGAAACTCGGCGACGTCCTCGAAGAATGGCACCGTCGGCAGAAGGAGATCAAGGAGGCCTCTCAGCAGGAAGACGGAGAGACGGAGCAGCCCCTGGGAGAAGACGCCGACATGGCCGACGCCGACTTCGAGCATCTCGCGGACCAAGACGACGTGCCCGACACCCAAGCCCTCGGCCAAGCCAACGAAGAGCAGGCCCAAGCACTCGACCAAAACAAGGGCGTAGAGTCGGACATCAAGCCCGGCGACAACGAGCCCATGCCCGACGTCACAGAGGAAGGCCAAGACCCCCCAGCCAACATGCTCGAAGACGACGACATGCAACTGGGACAAGACGGCCCCCCCACCGAAGGCCAAGGCGCGTTCATCCCAGGCAACACCGACACGCAAGAGCGTACAACCGACGGGCCCAACCAGACCGACGCGAACGACGAGATCGACGCAGTCGACGCCCACCTAGCAGCCATCCACCTCTCCTCGACCCTCCCCCCGCTCACCCCCCGCGACGAAGCCCAACGCCTCTGGTCGCACTACGAGTCCGCCACCAACGCGCTCTCCCTCTCGCTAACCGAACAACTGCGCCTCATCCTCGCCCCAACAATGGCCACCAAACTCCGCGGCGACTTCCGCACCGGCAAGCGCCTCAACATCAAGCGCATCATCCCCTACATCGCGTCGCAATACAAACGCGACAAGATCTGGATGCGCCGCTCGATCCCCTCCAAGCGCAACTACCAGATCATGCTCGCCGTCGACGACAGCAAATCCATGCTCGAAAGCGGCAGCGGCCAGCTCGCCTTCGAGACCCTCGCGCTCGTCGCCAAATCCCTCAGCATGCTCGAAGCAGGCGACCTTTGCGTCCTCGGCTTCGGCAGCGAAGACCACGTGCGCGTCGCGCACGAATTCGGCCAGCCTTTCTCCGCAGACGCAGGCTCGCAGGTCTTCCAGCACTTCAGCTACCAGCAGACGGGGACGAACGTGCGCAAGCTCATCGCGGACTCGATCGCGCTGTTCCGCGAGGCCCGCTGGAAGCAGTCGCCTGGTGCGGGCAACGCCGACCTGTGGCAGCTGGAGCTGGTGATCTCGGATGGTATCTGCGAGGACCACGATACGATTCGGAGACTGGTGCGGCAGGCGCAGGAGGAGCGGATCATGATTGTGTTTATCATTGTCGATGCTGTGAAGGGCAGCTCGATCTTGGATCTGAGCCAGGCGAGCTTCGAGCCGGATGAGGAGAGCGGCACTGGCGAGATGAAGCTGAAGATGAAGCGGTATCTGGAGGGATTCCCGTTCCCTTATTATCTTGTTGTGCGGGATGTTCGTGAGCTGCCGGCTGTTTTGGCGACTGCGTTGAAGCAGTGGTTTGCGGAGGTTGTGGATGTTTCTTCTTGATTTTATTATTATGGTTTGGTGTTTGGATGTATTAGATTGGGGGGTTCTTTTGTTTGTTTACATGTTTCTTTTTGATTGTTGTTGTAACTACTAAAAGCGTATGCTTGCATTACTAGAATTTCATAAAACGAATCATTTATTGACGCTCTGATTAGTAGAGAAAGTGAACCACGCGATGCAAATAAGTTACACAAGCACACAAGTATGGTATCCAAAATAGAGAATGAAAACATGAGGGAAGAAAAAGAGAAAAAGAAGTTACGACCACCCATACTTCGACCCCGCCTCCTGCTTGTTCCTCTTCCCAGCTGCAAAGCTCTCCTCCAAGGCCTCCTTCTGAGAGCTCGCCGCATTGACTAGCTGCTGCAGGGAGTGCTTTCCGGGCGCGATAGCGCGGACAGGGTTATGCTGCTGCGCAGCGAGCTCGGCGTGCGACATCTCCTGGTTGGCGACGTACTCGCGGTCTGTGTTGAAATGCAACACCTGCGCCTTGGCGGAGTCGGCGTTGCGGCCGAAGAGGTGGCGACGCTGGGCGCGCGAGAGGTTGAGGTCGTCTGCGATGTTGTCCAGTGTTTGCTGTGGTGTTCCTGACGATGCGGAGCCTTCCGCGGCGGACTGGGCTTCTGTGGCGGGCGCAGGGCCGGCTGCGGGTGCGTCTGGGGTTGCGCTGTAGACGAGCGGTTCGTAGGATGTCCCGTAGGTCTGGTAACTGGGGGCGGTTGTAGCGGAGGAAGAGGTGTCTGACGAGCCTAGGGAGAAGAGGCTGACTTTGGGTTTCTGCGGGGCAGCTGGTTTCGCCTCGACAGGGGGAGTCTGCTCGCTCGCAGGCTGTGCCGCCGCCGCAGAAGCAAGCCCTTTGACGGCGTCACCAGCAGGAAGCGGCGGTGCCGGCGAAGCAGGCTTCTTCTTCTTCTTCGGCTGCGCCCTCCCAACAGACAACGGCTTAAACATCATCGGATTCCCCTTCAACTTGACCTCCTCCGGCTTCTTCATATTCAGTCCATCCGCATCCGGCCCCGGAGTCGCCCCAGCACCGCCCTTGTCCTCATCTTCCCGCAAACTGCCCGCCCGAGGTATATCCTCATCACCTCCACCACCGCCTAAACTATCGAAAGCCTGATCATTCCTCATCTCCGCATCAGCACCCCGATCGAACCCCACCGTCGCACCCGTCTTCAAGCTAAACGGTTTCCTTGCAGCAGGCGCCTTCTTCTCATTCGCGACATTCTTCTTCGGAGCAGGCAGCAGGGAATTAAATCCCGAGAAAGCACCCCCGCCACCGCCAGTTCGGGGCTTCTTGCGCGCGGGTCCATCGTCCCCTTCGCCGGTGGGCTCGGGTTTGATCTCTGGGAGGGCGACGCGGATTTTGCGCGGGTTGCTGCGGTCGACGATGGAGGGAGGGGGGTTTTTGGTGCTTGTGCTTTTGGGGGCGACTGCTGCTGGGAGGGTGGGTTTGGGGGTCGTTTCAGGTTCGGAGTCGGAGGCGTCTGAGTCGGAGTAGGATACGAGGGCCATGGTTGTGGTTGATGTGGTGCTCGTGAGGAGAGACAAGAGAGATCAAGAGGACGGAGATGATGCGGCGATGAGACGAGAAACTTTGGGGCGACGAGCACGGGCCACATTCTCCCAAAGAGGGAATTGCGATGATCAGATAAGATAAGAATATCATCACTCGAATTCACCCACATCTTTGTCTTCCCACTTACACACTCTCCATCTCAACTCCACTCATCACATCACAGCACCCCCAACTCCGCAAGAATGGACACAGCAACACCACCCCAAGACCCTGACCCCGCAGTCTCCGAAAAAGATTCCACCCACCCCACCGCCCGGCCCAAAAAGTTCCGCTTCAAAAGCAGCACCAGCAGCCGCCGCACCCACCCACGCACCTCCTCAGAAGAAGAAAAGCACGCGCGACACCGCGCGCACCGCGCAAAACGCTCCAAACACACCCATCCACGCTCTCCATCGCCAGATTCAGTCTACACCACCAGCAGCCGGTTATCACCAGGTGCCGCATTCCGCGAATCGCTGTTCGACGCGCTGGGCGACGACGAGGGCGCCGCATACTGGGAGACTGTGTACGGGCAGCCGATACACACGTACTCGGTGCCGCAGACGCGGGGCCCGGATGGGGAGCTGGAGCAGATGGATGAGGAGGAGTATGCTGCTTACGTGAGGGCTAGGATGTGGGAGAGGACGAGGGAGGGGATGGTTGAGGAGCAGGAGAGGCTGAGGGGGGAGAAGGCGAGGAGGATTCGGGAGGAGAGGGAGGGGCAGAAGAGGCGGCGGGGACAGGAGGAGAGGGATGGGTTTGAGAGGGCTGTGGAGGAGAGTTTGGCGAGGGGGAGGGAGAGGAAGAGGGGGAGGGCTTGGGGGGTCGTCTGGAGGAGGTATTTGGGGTCCTGGGGGGAGGTGGATCGTGCTGTTGCGGATGTTGGGGCTGATTCTGCGAAGGGCGATAAGGAGGGGGCAGGAGGGGAGGCGACTAAGCTGCGCAATTTACTGTTTTGGCCGGTTGAGTCTGGGAAGAGGAGGGATGTCTGTCGCGAGGCGGTCGAGGAGTTCATGCGCCATGCACCGGTGCCGACTGGGGTGGATGCCGGGGGGGTAGATTCTCGCGAACTGCTGGTGGCTACGCTCAAGGCGGAGCGTGTGCGGTGGCATCCGGATAAGATCCAGCAGCGGTATGGAGTGCTGGGGATCGACGAAGCGGTGATGCGCAGCGTGACGGAGGTATTCCAGATCGTGGATGAGCTGTGGGGGGAGATGCGCGGACAGTCTTAGCCTCTTCTCCTCTCCTTCCCTGCTTTTATGTTTTGCGGATTGCGTTTTGGCGTATAGATACCCTTGCTTATACTTTGTTTGTTGCGGTCGATTATGATCATACTAGGTATTACTGGTATTATCCGGCATTCGGATTGAACACAGGTTATCTCCAACCGAATTATATACTGCTTCCTCATTGTCCCCTTTAGAAAGTCCACCGGGCATCACAGAGCCAACGGATAAGACTATTTTAAACAGCCCAATACGCAATCAAACACAGCTATGCAACAACGCAAATGGAATATCAACGAACAAGGTAAAAAAAGAAGAATGATAGATAGATAAGATGGACAGAGACGCTTGTCTGTTTTCTGTTTTCTTTTTTGGTGGTATATATTCATCATCCCGCACTCAACTATCCCATCACTTCACCGCTCAAAACCGGGAATATCTCTGCTTAGACCGCCAGATAGTGAAGCCCACATAAGCACCAGCAATAGCGAAGAGCACCAAGATAGTCTTGAAGAAGAATCCAGCCCAGGTACCGCCACTGCTAGCCGACTTGGTTGACTTGCTGCTGCTCTTGCTGCGGTCACTCTTCCCCGAGGAGGATGACGAACCGCGGCTGGAGCCCGCGCTGCCGCCGCCGAGGCTGTATAGGTTCTGCGACTTGACGGAGATGATGTCGTGGTTGTCGCTGAGCTCGCCGGTCTCGCCGGAGAAGCCCAGGTAGGCGACGGAGGGGATGGCGATGTTGGTTTCGGGCGCGGTCAGCGTGAAGCAGTTGGTCCAGGTGTTTTCGGCCTTGTACTGCAGGTCGAGCGTGAGGGACTTGTCCTGGAAGTAGGTGAGGCGCGCTTTGGTGGGGACGGAGGCGCCGCGCAGACCACGGGCCTTCAGTTTGTTTAGTATGTGGTTTGATTTATTTCGAGAGGGAAATGATGAGAACGTACGGAACACCCAGCCAGCTCGTTGGACTTGCCATCGTGCGCCTGGTCGTAGCTCGACTTGCCATCGCCCATCATGGCCATTACGTAGGGGAAGGACGTGCCGGGGCGGTTATTCTTGTACGTGTCGAAGAAGATACCCAGACCTTCAAAGTTATCCGCGGACCCAAAGACGGGGCCCTGCGTCGCGCGCTGCTTGGTGAGCCACATGGCAAACCCGTCACCGTGCAGATTTCCCTCGCCATGGATATTGAACTCGACCTCGATCTGCAACCCGTCAGCACTTTATCCTGTCCAGCCGGTCGTTCTCGCGCTACTCACCTCCCAATTGGTCGCGGTGAGCGGGACGCGCGAGAAAATCCACCCCTGTTGCGACGGACGATCGGCCGTGAGACGAACATATCTGGACTGGTCAGTACGACCTGCGGTAGGGTCTCGAGGCGGTAGGGGCCGGGGCCGGGGCCTGCGGTGGAACATACTTGTCGGCGCGGATTACCGTGTCACCACCAAAATCGAACCAGCGGCTTTGGAAGTCTGAATCCAGGTAGGGCTGGGATTGGGTCAATTGACTGCGTCATAGGCTGGGGTTGGGGGAGAGTTTGGGAGGGACCCACCGGAGAGAGACTGTGAGTGCGGAGCTAAATTATGGTTAGTGGATGACAAGCAATAGGCAAGGAGCAATATGTAATAACAGCTGCACCCACCGGAATGCTCTTGATGTTGTCGTCGCCGTCGTAGGCGGAGGCCGCTGGGATGGAGGCCAGACCGGCCAGGCCCAGGAGGGTCGAAAGCCGCGGAAGCAGCATTTTGAGAGAAACAAGCGTGAGCTGTATTCCAGGAGGTAGAGTCGGAGAGGACGAAAATCAGGACAGATCAGCTGCGACGTAATCGGATTATCGGACTAGAATGGACAGCTTGTCTGCCTCGGAAGTATAGCGGGGGGGAGGAAGATAAAGGTAAACAAAATGAAAGTGAAAGAGGGATATACAGTTGGATTGAATGATAAGGAGTAAGAGAAACGAAGTCACGAGAAGAGAAAAGCCAAGTCAAGAAGTGAAGAGAAAGAAAAGAGAGAAAGGCAATGCAGCAGTAAACAAGAGAGAGATAATCGAATGGTTCCCTCGATCCATCCAAGTGTCCACATCGCGGGTGTGGCGCAGTCGGAGCTGGAAGCAGCCACACTCACCGCCGAACTTCAGATCTTTCTCTTTTACATCACATACTACTACCTACACCACTCTACAACAACCTCCACTTCGATTCAATCAACTCACACACCCCAACACCACCATCAAAATGGCTCTCTTCGGCTCCAGCTCCAGCACCCCCAACAACAACCCGCAGGAGGTTAAAAACACCATCAAACTGCAACTGCAGCAAGAGGCCGCCATGGCCAACGCCCGGAGTCTGATCGGAGTACTACTCCCTCCCCAATCCCATTCAATCAGTCCAATCCCTATAGAATCCTCACTAATAATCAATAATGATAGAAAATCAACGAACACTGCTACGACGCCTGCATCCCCAGCCCCGGCTCCTCCGTCTCCCCGAAAGAAGAAACCTGCCTGTCGCAATGCATGGAAAAGTACATCGCCACGTGGAACGCCGTCAGCAAGGCTTACATCGGCCGTGTTGCGCACGAGAGCAAGCGTCTGGGTGGCCAGGAGAACACCATCGCTATGAACTCGCTTGCTGTGGCGCCGAATGATCAGTAGACCCTTTCTTCTTTCTTTGATTGGGTTCTCTTTGCTGTATTTGTGTCTGTGTCTGTGTTGAGTATTGGTCTGTGTTGGAGATGAATGGTGTTTTTTTTTTGTTTGGGAATAGATTCTGTCATGAATTTTGTTATGTTTTTTTATATGTCGATGTATAATTCTGGCCGGTTGTTGGATGTGGCAGAGTGGTGATGTACGATATGGTGGATCTTCGGTCTACGTTTCCCAACTGAGTGATGCATCTAAGATCGCCTTTATTCAATTGAGAGATTAAAACAAAACCTAGGTTCATTATACAGGTAACGAGACGATCACATGGACACGGACGGTTTCCTAACAATCCGGTAGACTGGACTGTCCCAAGGGAATCAATCCATTACAAGACCTTAATCCATAAAAGCTCACTCCAAGAAAGCCCATTCCAGGAAAGCCCACCCAGTCAATTCCTCAATCCATATAAAGTTTAGAGTGATGAGAAAAAGAACAAGAAATAAATAAATATGGCATACTTAAATAATATGATGCCATCACGCCGGACAATCCAAAGTCATCCATCCGCGCGGGAGCTCCAAAAGGCACCCTCCGCATCGAATCGGCCAGCGATCAAAAGACAACCAAGCAAGACCACGTATCCACCAGTCAGGAGGATACGACCAGACAGGTCTCGTAGGGACCAACGCCCGGGAGGGCGCTAGAACGTAGTCCGGCTAGGCGAGAAAACGGTGAAGCATGCGCCATCCGGTGCGAGAAAGGGGAAGAATAGAAACAGAAGATAATGAAAGTCATTTGAAACTGCCGTGTAGACCGCAACCTCGTTCTATACGTCGTCACTCGTAGTACGTGGTTAGAAGTCGGGGAACAAATGGCCGTGTCTAGTGATTATCAGCATGAGAAAGAAGAGAACAAAGAAGAATGAGAAAAACATACGCATCTTCACCCGAGTGACCATATGATTCAGTCTCCTCTGGATATCGGTCATACTGGCTGGCATCACCCTGACCGCCCCGGATGGGCGGCACGTAGGGAGCGTCGATGTCCTTCCGGGCCAGCCGATCCCAGGTCACCTCGGCAAACCACGGGTGCGTCTTGATATCCTCAGACCCGCCGTGCAGGTTTCCCAACCGCTTGGTTAGGTCGGCGGTGATGAGCTGCGAGAGCAGGTCGACCGCGTCGGGGTTCAGGTAGGGCGGGTATTTTACCCGGCCGCGCAGGATATTCTCGTAGATCTTGACGGGGGACCCGCTGTCCCAGAACGGGGTGAACCCGCACAGCATTTCAAAGATCAGGATGCCCAAGGACCACCTGGCGAGGCATCAGTGAGGGGTTCCTTCTGATTGACTTTTTGTGTTCACGAGGTCCAACACTCACCAGTCCACTGATTTGTTGTATCCCTTGGACGAGACGACCTCGGGGGCCAGATAATCGGGGGTACCGCAGAGCGTCCAGGTGATATCGGGCACCTCTTTGGCGAAGCCAAAGTCGGTGATCTTCAGGTGACCATGTCGATCGAGGAGAAGATTCTCCGGTTTGAGATCGCGGTAGATGATCTGCTGCGAGTGGAGGTAATCCAGCGCGAGGGTGACCTCGGCGGCGTAGAACTTGGCCACGGGGTTGGGGAAGCGCTAATTTTGTTCGCCATTCGAGTTAGGGATGTTTCGGACGATGAGGGGTGGAGCAGGGGACTCACTTGCGATTTGCGCAACAGACTGAAGAGTTCACCACCCTCGACGAAATCCATGACCATGTAGAGATTGCGAGCATCCTGCCAGGTGCCCCACAGGGTAACGAGGAACGGGTGTCGGACGCGACTGAGCATGCGACGTTCGTCATTGGTATGTTCGATCTGCTTCATCTTGACCACTTGGGCCTTCTTCAGCACCTTGATCGCATAGAAGCGATGGTTGTGCTTGGACTGCACCAGGTGGACCCGACCGAAGCTCCCGGTGCCCAGGGTGCGCTGCAGGGTAAAGTCCTCGAGGGAGTATTTCCCCTTGGTGGAGCGGGCGGTCTGCTGCTGCGGGGCATTCTGCCCCTGAGCACCGGCGGGGGTCTGCTGGTGGGCGCTGGCGGGATGGGAAGTCTGGTGCGAGGGGTGGATGATATTCTGGATGCTGGCGGCATTGGCATTGGCGTTGGCGTGCTGAGACTGGGGCTGCAGCGCCGGGCTCTGGTGGGCGGGCGAAGGGGACAAGGGCGCGGCGGATTGCATGGGGGCAGCTGGTTGAGCGGGGTGGTTGGAGGTGGGATGGGATGGCTGTGATTGTTGAGGAGAGGAAGTCGGTTGTTGGTTCGAAGATTGCGGCGGAGATTGGGGATGGTTTGGTGACGTCGCCGCGGGGGGAGGGGAGGAACCGGCTTCCAACTCTTTGGAGAGGGACTGCGAATCCTTGGTCCGCCGTTTTTTCAACAGACCTCCTAACGTAGGCATAAGGAAGGATAATAAAATTAATAGGGCAGAATAAAAGAAGAAAGACAATCAATCAAAAAAAAAGAAAAGAAAAAAAAAAGGATGAGGAAGTGGCGTTGGTTTAAATTCAGGAAAATCAGGTCGACCCCTCTTTGTGGTTGGGAGAGAAAGAGAGAGAGAGAGAGAGGGAGGGAGAGGGAGAGAAGAAGAATAGGAGGAAAGAAAGAGAGAAAGAGAAAGATTTGGTTCGGAGCGGATACGGGCGGACTCTCTGCTGCCCCCTCCAGGATGATCAATTGAAGAAAGAAGTAAGAGTTGGATAGATGGAGTCGATGCGGTGAGTCTGGGTTTTTTAGTCTTTTTAGTCCTTTTTGTATCCTGAAACTGCTGTTGGGTTGGAAGTTGTATAGGCGTCAATACCACAACACGTTGCAACAAGAGGATCGAGAGAAATCCAATCAAGAAAGAAACCAAGAAAGAACAGAAAGGACAGAGAGAAAAGAGAAGAAAAGAGAGAGAGAAGAGAATCCAGCCAAGAAAGAAGCGGGGCAATCAGGCTTAATTAATGAATTCATTCATTCATTCTTTCATCCATTGATTGATGCATGTATGTCCTACACGTTATAGTGGATGTACTGTACACTTAATGACCAGCTGGACTCGACATACATCTCCACCCCAGATCTGTCCACCTCAATGCAAATCCATTCATTTCGGTCATTCCAGAAATCAATGAATCCCCTTCAATCCCCAGATCATGACTCCCATCCACCATGAAGTCATCACTCGACCGACTCTTCCTCGGAGAAATGTGTCTTCTAAAGTATCTGTCCATCACCCCGGATTAGACAGAGTTCACCTTTCATCATCTACTGGTTAGAGTTCAACCGGGCTGGATCCTTGGATCTCTCCAGCATGGGAGAAATCAAAACTTCATGGTGACTTCATCAGTCTCAGCGTCATCATCGTCATCATCAGCTGGCATCATACCTGTCATATCATCCTTTGCTGGATGGATACTGGATATTGATCGGTGGAACGCCCCGCTTCTCGTCCCGGGGCCGAAGGGGAACCTCCTTATTACCTATCCTCTCTATGGAGTATGGGATCGGCGGGATTCAGAGGTATCTATCGTTTGAACCAGCTATGTTTTTCATGATTGTATTTCTTCTCCCATATACTCCATACTCCATACTGAAGACAATGGTCAAATATCAGAGTCATGAATGATGACTAACCATATTCCCAACCCAACTCCTATCCAATCAATCAAGTCCACCAACAAAAACACAGACAATAGACAGACAGTGTAATAAAAAAAAAAGAAAAGAAAAGAAAAGAAACTATATCCGGTAATGCGCCATGTTCTTCTTAATCTCATCCACAATCTCCTCCGCCTCCACCGTATTCTGCGCCTCAAAGTCATACCGCTTCTGCTCGTTCGCATCGTTCCCCCGCAGCACCACCACCCGGAAGTTCTTCGGATGTCGTCGACTGACCTTACACCCCACCACGTCGTTGAAGCTGATCGACCGCGTCTTCGTGTCCGACCCCGTTTTGCCCGTGTCCCCCGGGATGATATGCATGTAGTCGTTGTCGAACGTCAGGATGCGGTGGTTCGACGCCGTGAACGACATGGACTGCTTCCGGAACACGTGGTACCGCCGGTAATACCCCCCGATGAGATCCTGCTTCTGCGTGAGCGGGTGCAGCATCCGCTTCTCCTTCTCGCTCTTCTTGCCCTTCTTCGTCCCCGTCTTCGTCTTGCCGCCCCCGCCGCTCTGCTCGATCAGCAGCGGCGCGTTCGGCGACGAGCTGCCCGGGGACCCCGTCAGCGGGCCGAACCGCCGCCGCACCAGGTCCAGCTCCACGATGTGGCCCAGCGCTTCCACCGTCCGGTCCAGCGGCGCGATCGTGTTCGACCCCATCACCTTCAGCAGGTAGTTGCCCTTGTCCAGCCCCCACCGCTTGCACACCGAGTCCAGGATCTCCGCGATGTAGCTGTCCGTAGACGTGTTCAGCGTCGTCATCTGCGTAGACCCTTCCAGGTTGATGAACCGGATCCGTAGCGTCTTCGACACGCCCAGTCGCGGCGTCGCGTGGGAGATCGGTACCGCCGGACGGTCCGCCGGCGTCAGTGTGTTGTCGTTGAGCGCCGACGAGAACGGCTGTCCCAGGATCGGATTCGGCCGCGGGCCCTTGCTCGGCAGCCCGGGCGAGTTCGCCGACGGCGGGACGCTTGCCGTCGATGCGCTGGGGGTGGTGGCCGCGGCCGCCGTCGCCGTCGTCACCGCATCACCCGTGTCCTCGGCGGGGACGGTCGGGCTATCCATCGGATATAGACGCTCGTTCTCGACGAACTCCGCCTCGGAGGCCTGCACGAGGGCGAATTCGTCGTACTGGTTCCCTCGGGAACGGCCGCGCGCTCCGGCGGCGCGGTTGTTGTTGTTGGACGTAAAATCCGTCATGGGAGAACCGCGGCCCAGCGCCGGGAAATCGTACTCCACCTCCCCGTCCTCCATCATGCGCAGGGCCCACCGGTTGACCGTAAGCTTGTGCCGTTCGATGGCTGGATCTCGGCCCTCCTCCGCATACCGCCACAGGGCGAGCCCGATCGCCTCTACCACCGTCACCGGCGCCGGCTGCTCCGCTAGTTTC